TTTAGAAAAATTTAAAAATTTCCTGCTTTTTTTTATTTTTATGGCTTATTCTTATTTAGTCTTTAGTTCTTCTTCTATATTATTTTGCTTTCAAAGTGCAACATTAAAATATCTGTTTTTGTAGGTATATGTATGTATATGCATTTATTATAAATGCATGTATAACAGATACATAGGTAAACGAAGAGAAACTTAAATGTGACCTATTTATGCATTTACGCTAATAAAAGGTAATGAAATCAAAAAATTTATTTTCTCTTCCTTCAAATAATTTGAAAAGTTTTAAATATTATTTTAAATTTATTTTGAGTGAGTTAAATTTATTTTGAGTGTATCAGTTGGTTTTCTCATTGAATTTTTTCCCCTATTTTTGACTACAAATAGGCTGCAAATATTAAAATACTAGGTGAAATTTTGATAATCAACAAATTTTAGTAACATTTTGTAGAATTTAATTTCCAAATGACTAGAAAATTGATAAACGAGGACATTTTGAACGCAAATACTAAAAGATATTCGAAAATTTAAACTTTTCGGATACTCTTATGACGTAAAATTCGATTGAAATTAAAATAGAGTGAGTAGCTCTCTCAACACAATTACTCTTTCTCATTTTTTCGCCAATATAGCAAGGAATATTAGTAGCAAGGAAACATTTTTTGTTTTGTTTTGAAAAATAGGCTCCAGGTCTCTTGTTTTGTGGACTTTACTATTGTATTGCATCTCTAATTCAAATTATTTAAATATAAAATTTGTTATATTCGCGACCTCCTGTGAGTTTAATTGTCTAATTCTCGTTCTCTTCTCTCTCCTCCTCTCTGCTCTTCTTCTCTAAAAAATTCATCCCTTCCTCCCTTTTTTTTTAATTATTTTTTTGTTTTATTTCCTTTCATTAATTTTTTTTATTTAAAAAAATTATTTTTCGTGTTTTGTGAAAATTCAATTTATTTTCTTATTCATTATTTTTTTCTAAAGACTTTTTTATTTTCTCTATTTTTTTTTTGCTAATCTTAAGCTGACCAGATTATATTTTATATTTTATTTCATTTAATATTTTATCTTTTTTCCATATGTGACCTATATAATTTTTGTTTTTGTTTACCTTTTACATTATACTTAGTTTTCAGACAAATTCGAGGCGGAGAAGGTCAACGAAATTATTTGTATGTAATAAAAAGAGAAGAAAATAATATCTATATGAGTATATATGTATGAGTAATACAAAAAAACGTTATGAGAACATGCAATAAATTTTCTAATTACATAAGAACTACGGGGTATTTGAAAAATTCTTTGGTAATTTATTAAATAAGTGTTCAAATTACTTTAACAGTGTTATATAAAGTTAGCGGCATCGATTGCCACTTTTAGAAAGCAAAGAAATTATAAATAGAGTATAATCTTTCTCTGTTTATTATTATATCTCGTGTATATAAATAAAGGTGGAATTTTTGTTTTATCCTAAAAGTAGGCAAAAATATTTCATTCAAATTGATAGATAAACTATACGAAGCGGTGTAAAAGCTATTGCTAGTTTTACATGTTGAAAAAAGGAATTTTTGACAGTTCTAATATTGTTTTAAATATATGCTTGGAAATTTCCTTGGTGCTTGAAAAGAAACATCTATGCTAATTTAATTTCGAAAACCTCATTAATGGAAAAGAAAGAGCCAAACTTACTTAAAAGTTTTCCGTAAATTTTTAAATTTTACACAAAAATGAAATATTAAAAAATTGTGATTTTACAGTACATAAGTTTGAAGACATTGGCATCCCACAAAATGACCATTAATTTCAACTCTTTTCTGCCTACTCTGTTTAAAACTGGTCTACATATATACATTTTACCTCAATTATTATTTTGAACATGCAATGCTTTTTCGAATTCTAAAAAAAAATTGGTAAATTAAAGATAATTAGTATTTATACATAAAGCACAAAAGTCCCTACAAAATTGTATCATGAAAAAAAAAGGCATGCATGCGTGCTTGTATATAAGATTTTGCTCTTAAATATTTTATTCTATTTTTAATTAATAAAATTCTATTTTCTTTATAATTTTAGATTGAGAAACCCAGTGAGAACTCATAGTACACTCGAAAAATCGAATACATAAATTGAAATTCACGATATTTAGGTTGTCGTTGCCGCTGTGTTCCTTTCCACATAACGAACAAAAAAAAAAAAAAATTCTTCAGAAAAATGGACGTTTGGTTAAATGATGTTAAACAATTACGTATACCAAGACCAAAATTTGGTTTAAGTGGTAGTCCACCAACATCAAGATTTGTATGTCAACCGAGTGAACCACCAAAAGATTATAATATGACATCAGTAGTAGATGAAAACTCAACACATTCAATTAAAACGAATAATGAATTAAGACAAAGATTACAAGATAAACTTTAAGAATAATTTGCATATCTACATATATATTACTCATACACACATACATATAAATCTTAATATGTATGTATTATCTTTACAAAAAAAAAACAATACAAACAAATCAAATATAAGCAAAATTCAGAAATGAAACGTTATAAAAATTGACAAATAATTAATTTTTTTTTTTTTATAATTAGAATATAAATTTATTTTTTATATACATATATAAAATTTGAATGTATATGAGTTTTATATAACAATTTATATGTTAGTATATTAAGTTTTGTAATAAAAAAAAAACAAATAAAATAAAATTTAATTATAGTTTTTAAGTAGAATTTTTCAGCAATAATTTTTTGTTTTTTTATTTCACTCGTTTTGTCACTCCTATAAATATGCAATTTTATTTTGATTTTGATATCTAATCGTAAATTATTATAGTACAACTTAAATACAGCACAATGCAATTTAATTCGAGAGTCGAAAAGTCGAGTAGTGTTATCTGAATTAAAAAGAGAGCAGAAATAGGAAGAAGAAACAGTAATTGTAAGAATTGTGTCGCGGATTAAAAAATAAAATTTTAATAAGGGAAAAGTATGAGGTGCATTTAGAAGAGTGAAGTATGTACATTCTTATATATAAAATAATTACAAATTTGCTCAATTAATTGCTAAAACTCAAAATTTATTAATTTTTATAGTGACGTTTACAAACAAAGAAAGTATGAATCCACGTTGATAATGAAAAAAATAAGGAAAGACAGAGAGGGTTTTTGTCTAAAATAAGATAAATAAATTTTACAAATATTGTTATACTCAACTGTAAAATAATGTGTTGAGTTATTATCAATCAAGCTAACATATTCTCAATATTAAACTTAAACCATACAAAATCGTAGCGTTTTTGTTACAGGATTCATTCACAAGAACACAATTTAGGAACCAAATTGACAGTAATTGTTTTTCACTTCAAAAACTATGTATAATTATAATTGTTCCTTTACAGGATTCATAGAAGTATAAAACCACGAAGTGTTTTTAAAGAAATTAAAACACAATTTTTAAACACAAAAAAAATTTTAAATTCATTTATATATCAAAAATTTTCGTTCCTATGACAAAAAATGTCAAAAATGTTCAAAAATTTTGTATAATATTATAAATGGCATTCGATTATTATAATTGATATAATACTAATTTAAACAACGCTTCTAGTCAATATAGTTCATTAATGATTGCCTTATGTTAGCCAGGGCGGTGTAAAATCAATATTATAACAATTAATTCAAATTATACCACTACGAAATTTTATACATAATTGGTATACTTAAATTTTTAATATACTATATCGTGCATCTATGTATATTTCAAAAATCAAAAATTAAAAATTTGAAATCTTAAATTCTTAAATTAAAAGTAGAAAATTTTGTAATTAAAATTTATGGAAAAATAAAAATATATCAGATTTCAATTTCCCAGTTTAAAAATCAAAATAATAATGTAGCATCACCCTTAATATTATATAACAGAAATTAAATTGAAATTTCATTCTAAAGTAATGCAGATATAATATTATACTTATAAACTGTAAACTCAATTTTCTCAAAAGAAATGTAAAGAGAAATTTCTCTTATAATCAATTTCATATTTGGAAAAGAGTTTTTTTTTTGTTATAACAATTACAATATAACATAACTTAAAACACTACTAGAGTCGGAAAATAACCATAAATTTTGGATTTTAAACTATTCCTCATGAGAAATTTCCTATACTTTTCATACCATTTCTTCTTATACAATAAATGCAAAGAGAGAATTAAAAACTTTTTTTTTTTCTTATAGAAATGAGAATACAAAATGAACAGTAAATTATTCTTAATAAAGAACAGTTTAAACCCACAGAGTAATATGTATAACAATAATAATAAAAAGTAACAAATATGAAAGAAAACGAAAAAAAAAAAATTCAGTGGCATGGCATTGATTTTCTTTTTTTCTCATTTATTTCTACTTTAAAACTTTTTCAATAACCTTAAAATAATTTTGTAAATGGCAGTAAGCCAAAATACACAAGTTTACTTAGCAAGCAAATTTACAATATAAAAAAAAAAATATTTTTATTTTTTTTGGAAAATAATTTGTGTTCGTGTTTAAAAATTAAACATATTGTTATGAAAAAGGTAAAAGGAGAAAATCAAGAGAGAAACCAAATGAAAATTAAAAAAAAAATTGGAAGAATCTTCAATTCACATTTAAAAACAAAAAGAAAATGCATCACAACAAAAAAAAAAAACAGACACCTGCATTGTGTAGTAAAAGATTTTCACATCTATATTTTGAAATATACACACGTACATGTTATATTGTACGTGTTATTTCATATTATTTCTATTCTTGTTTTTAAAATGTAAAATTGTACATGTATTTTTGTATATAAGTATATGAAATTGCCACCTAAATATTATACTTTGGTCTATACGCTATTTTCAAATTTTTTGACTTAAAAGTTCATCTGACGTTTATAAAATGTGGCCTTTTAGAATCTGTTTGCCCGTTTTTCATAAACTTAATTGGTTCTGAGAGAATCACAGTGTCGATTTTGTTCTTTATCCACCATTTTTGTTCTATATCTACTGCATATCTCCTTTTCTCAAGGTTGAAAATCGGTTTTCTTAAAATCAAATAAATGGCGTATAGACCAAATTAATAATAAGGTGAGCAAATATAACAGTGAATGATTTCCATTTAAATTTGTTTTTTGTGCTCTTTTTTTGCTCTCATATTTATATTAAATATATTTTTTTTTTTGGTTCTTCAAAATGGTGCATTATATAACTTCATTTTTCTTTAGTTTTTGCAAACCATTAGAGTATAACACTTACCGTTTCATGTTCATATTCACTTCTAGGTAATTGAGTTTCACTTCCTCTTCTTGATCTTGTATCATCACAGTTGTATTCCTGCATATTTGGTTTTTTTTGTTGTTTGTTTGTTTGTTTGTTTGTTTGGTTTTGTTTATTTTAAGAGTATTGATAATATAAGATGAGAGGGGAAAAAAAAGAAATAAAAGAAAAAAAAATAATAACAACGATAAAAACTAGCTCTAAAACTATTATTAATAATAATAATAAAAAAGAGGGGGAGAAAAAATATTAAAAAAATTTTCTCTTTTTTTTGATCCTGTTATTTTTTTCTCTATTTATAATATAATATTATATTGAAATATATATTAAAAAAATCAATTAAATACACATATAAAAATAAAATATAATGTATAAATATGAGTATATATATATATATATACAAATACTATTATGCATAAATTTATGTTCGAGTTCGAATAAAATTGATCATACTCAACAACAGCACAACAGAATTCAATATAGGAACGCAATCCAAAACTTGGATTCAAAAATAAATTAATAAAAACAAAAAAAGAAATAAAATATTTTTATTTTTATATATAAAAAGACATACGATTTATGTAATAATTTCACATAGACACATAAATATAAAAAAAAAATATTATTTACATTTTATTTCAGTCCCTATATACAAAATATAAATGAACAAAATATTAAAAATAATTACAAACATAAAGAAAATAATAAAGACAATTTTAATTTCAAGCAATAAAAAATTTTTTTGTATTTAGTAAATTTCATAGAGCCACAGAATATCAAAATCAATATTGAGAACAAAAAATAAAATTTTTATAAAAATTTTATATATAAAACAGTGAGAGAAAAAAAAATTATATAAATGTAAAAAAAACTATTAATAAAGAGAGACACGAAAATGCTGAAAAATGTTAAAATTAATTTTTGACAAGTTCATAATAATGTCATCATTGACATTTATTTAAAAAATTTCTTTCAATTTTATTTACACAACAATATATATGAAGAAATAGATGATTTTTAAAGGAAATTGTAAATGTCTAAAGTCTTTGACTGATGAAGTTCTAATTTCTCTCATGAAGGCTCATGGCCCCGTTTGACTTCGTTCAATTTTTTTAGAAAGAGAAAAAAGCAAGAATACAATTCAAATTTTCATATAAAATATATGCTCTCGTATTACTTCGATGCACCAAAGACAAACCAATGAAATCACCTTAAGTGACACATACACAATTTCAAAAATTCTGTCCTGCTCGAAAAAGTTTACATAAAAATTAATTTGGGAATTTATCTTTAATCTAGATTAAAAATTGAAAACAGGCGCTTCATTCTGTATCTCACACTCTTGTACTTAGCGGATGATAAGAAAGTGAGAGAATTATCACGCTCTCTTCTGAAATATACGTGAGTAATAGTAATGCAAAATATAAAACCTGAATTAAACTCAGAGAACGATAGGGAGAAAAGTGGTTACTTAGTTCTTTTGACTGATATAGCACGGGGTCATAATACATTATAGCTCTTAGTTTGAATTGACACAAAAAATCACTAGTGTTTCTAATTGTTCGACTCTTACATTTTATTTAGGTTAAAATAATTGTTCAAAAAAAAACCTTTTCTTTTTTTTTCAAAAAATTCACTTCACTTTTTTTTTAAATTGACATAATCTTGTTCTGCTGAACTGGTCTTAATAATTTTTATCTTTACATCTCTTTTTTCTTTCAAAATGTTTACAAGGTCCAACACTTACAAAAAAAAAATTTTTATTTTGTCTTTATTTATGTTTTTCTAAGAAAAAATAGAAATTCAACAACAAAACCAATTTTTAAAGCAAGTATATTTTTATATTTTCCTGCACAGGACAAAAAACAACAGCAAAATTCACTATTCTAAAACATTTTAGAAAACAAAAACAAAATGCAATAATCCCATCTAATGAAAACAACAAAAAACAAAAGAACAACATGAATTTTCTGTTAAACGTCATTTATAACACAACAAATCCATTCACAATATTTGTGGACACATATATGAATATTTATTTACAAAACCAATGCACATACACACATACACAACAAGCACATGACAATAAAACTTTCTTAATATAAAATATTTGAAGAACTTGATATTTGAAAAAAAAAAAACATCTAACAAAAAAAGTAAACATGAAATAAAATAAAAGGTAGTAATAAAGATAGCAAATATAGTAAGTTTGTAGCAAGTAGCAGCAGCAGTAGCATAAAGTAAAAAAAATTAAAGAAAAAAAATTAAAATTGAAATTTATCACTGCAACAAGAACAATAAAAATAAACAAAAAAAAATATAATAAAATGCAAATAGAATAGCAAAAATTTTGCTCAGCTTAAAGCTAAAGGAACAAGAATGACTAACTAAAAAAAACTAAAAATTGTTTTCATATATATATATACACATTAGTATATATACCTGTGTATATGACATAATTTGTATGAATAAAATAGAAGAACAGAAAAATTACACAATCGCTCTAAACATGGATATCTGGTTCAAATCTATGGCAATAAGGCAAAACTGTCTAAGTAAACAGAAGTTAAAATCAACTGTCAATAAGCAAAACTGTTTGCAAAAAACGAAAGACTACGATATTTAAAATTTCCGTATTCCCAACTTTAGATATATAAAATATCGGCTAAACTCGGAAAACTCCAAGAAGATGAATTGAAGAAGTGAACCCTATTACACACATTCCCAGAAGAAAACAAACCTAAGGTCCGCCGGCAAGCATATGACACACATCCGCATTTCTTAAAATAACGAAAATGCTTTCACGAAATATAACAATTTCTTTACGACCGTATCTAATTCGAATTTTCCTAAAATTGTTTTTTTTTTTTGATAGAGGTAGATACTCGCATAGTATGTGTTCTCTACTATTATGCATCCTGTAACTCTTGACAAGCATCTTCTCTAGGAAAAAGCGCCAACCAAAGTAAGTGCCGCAATCTTGAAATTTTGAATAGAATATCAAAAAATCCACCACCACAGCATAAAATTTCCGCTTTTAATCTTTTCATTTCGCTAGCTTTCAATTACCTCTAACTCCATACTATGCTCAAAAAGTTCAGTATCAAAAACATGGTTTAGTGTCAAGTCAAAATATTCTTTAAAGTCATTTTCTCGAATCTGGATAGTTTTGTCTCATTGCCACAGAAATACAAAATGCCCCTGGAGAACTCAAACTAACCGTCAGAGAGTTGAATATACAAGTACTTATATAGTCAAAAATGAATGAACTTCTTTTTCTCTGCTAATTTAAAATTTTTTTACATATTTTTATACCCTGCACTTCGTGAAGTGTATATTAACTTTGGTATGGAGTTTGTAACTACTTGAAGGAGTCACCTGCGGTATAGGCATATATATATATTCTTGCTCAGCGTAAAATTCTGCATTGATTCAGACATGTCCGTCCGTCCGTCCGTCCGATCGCACGATAACTCAAAAACGAATAATGCAATCAACACCAAACTTTCACAAGTTGCTTCTTTTGTGCCAAGGACGAATCCTATTGTTATTGGACCAATTCGGACAACGGGTTCGGGTAGCTGCCATACAACTCAAAGAGTTTATTTTAATTATTTCAAAAACTAATAAAGGTACGAATATAAAATTTTGTATACATGTGTCCAATTATATTCTACATATGCTCTAAAAATTCTAATGAGATAGCTGCACCGGTTCGGGTGGCTGCCATACAACTCTAAAAGCAAATTTTTTATAATCGGCAAAATAATAAAGTCAAATTCATGAAACTTGGCAGTTGTGTGTCCAATTATAGATCAGATATACCTGCGAAGTTTTAGTGGAATTTCTTGGCAGGTCGGGTACCTGCCATACAACTCCAAAAGCTAATTTTAAATATTTGGAAAAAAAAAGTCAGATTCATGAAACTTGGTAGTTGTGTGTTCAGTTATAGGTCATATGTCTGACCGTGAAGTTTCTATAGAATGGTTTCACAGGTTTGATTAATTGCTATACAACAATGAAAGGTGCAGGGTATAATTCAATTCGGTATGAAAGGTCGGTTCATACCGACTGAAACGTTTTTACTTGTTTTTCTTTTTTTTATCGTTTTACTCCTTTGTAAATATGCAGAGCATTTTTATTAGATAACATCTTTTTTCACTTCGGTTCTTCGTTTTTATTTTTATTTTTTTTTGAAGTTCTATAGTTGAAGGACAATAGGATTTTTTATCTTGTACACAATATAAGTACACAAATACATTTTATTTATATAAATGGTAAGTTTACATAATATTACTTATTCAGTTTTTTAACTCAAAATTCTAAAATTACATACGTATATACATATTTAAGTATAAAGTACATAAATATTTATAAAGAAAACCTTAGAGCATTTAAAATGCAGTATGTATGCATTTAAAAGGGAAAAAAGAAAAATTGCATAATTTTAGGAGTAATCTTTTTTTTTTTTTAGAAAAAAGACTGAAAAAGTTCTAAACACGTACTTTTCTTTATTCATTTTGTTTTTCAGTTAGTGAAAAATTAACAAATTTCCACTACTTTTAAAATAACATACAAAATGTTCGGGCGCCAGTTCCTTATTATGAGGGAACTAACCGTTTCCAACTCATTAGTATTTACGCTAATTATGATTGTTTTCGGTGAGCTATTAATGTCAGGATTTGAATCGCTCAATTAGACTCGATTTGCGGCTCAAAAATTAATTTATTTTAGGCTATGTCAAAAATATTGCAAGATGTCAAAATTTTAATTAAGTTTTATCCATATACTCGTACTTATCCATTCTTTGAAAGAAATTTTAATTTTTCAAATTTTTAGTGCCACAGTATCTCAATAACATTAAAACCGACAAATTATTCCAAAGTAAAAGTTAACAATTTCAATAAAATTAGTGTTATGTACGTGTTTTTTCTATGTGCTCAATTTTAATAATATGAGTGATAAAATTTCAATTCATCCCATTTAAGTGAAAAACCATTAAACGTAAATCCAACCCCAATCAAATTTTATTATAAAGTAATTTTGAAAAATTGTCATTTAAGCTGGTATTCTTTTTTATCATAAAATATTCAATTTTGTGATTCTATCTTCATTTAAAAAAGGTAGAATTGTTACAAGTACGCAGATATTATTTTAAATCTTTGAGAACACATCAAATGCAAGAATAAACAGTAAAACAAGAGAAAATCAGTAACGATTCTTGTCAATAAAAAATAAAGAAGAGACAAAAAAAATTGTAATAAAATCATTTTTTTTGCGGAAAAATATAAGATTAGGTGTTTATATAGAACAATATTGTACTAAAGCACTAAAAATTTTCGAATTTTATTGTAAATACAAACGCAACATTAGTGAAATTTTTAAAAATCACTTTCATGCAACAAATATTTGTTTAATTTTCTAAATGATAACATAAAGTTTCTTAATTCCCCCTACATATTGCAGGGAAAATCGCACAATTTTCCATAATGGTTCGATAAAAATTAGTGCTTTTTAGTACCAAATGATTTTTTAATTAAATTAGACAAATAATGTTCTGCTTAATTAAGAAAATACAATACACATTATTTAACAAGACATTATTATAGCTATGCTCGGGCGGCAGTTTTTAAATATGATATTCACACTCTAAATGTAAAAAATTAATTCCTATATTTGAAATAAAATAAATTATATCAAATAAAAACTTATTTTGTCACAAACATTAATCAAAATTTTGGGTAATTTTTCAAATTTTTACGATATAATATCTCGTAATTACTTTTCGTAGTATTACATAGTGATTCATCTTTAAATAATAGGGGTGTGATTTTTTTTTATTATTGTTGTAATTTTATTTTTATAATATACACTCTAATTTTTTTTATTAAGACCATAATTTCTATTAAAATCATTAATTTTCAGCCAATATAAATTTTTTGATTTTAGCACATTTGCTTTTTTTTGCAGTGTTGAATAAAATCAAATTGTACTTTAGAAATTTCTTGAAAAAAAATTGAATTGTCACTGATACAAAACTATTATATTAAAGAACTTAAAATATAATATTGATTCCTTGTCCTTTTTTTTGTCGATTTCTGTATGTTTTGAAAGAAAGAAATAAATTTTCAAGGACATTATGTACATGTATTTTTGTGTGTATATTTATTTATGTATTAAGAGAAATTTCATTTAAAGTGTAGTAGCTATAAAAGGTGTTTCCACTTTTATAAAAAAAAAATAAAACATAAAAATCTATTCAAAGTAAATGATAGAATATAAAAATACAAATAAAAAATCTTTACAATAATAAAAAAAGAAATCAAAAATAAAACAATAATAAAAAATAAAAAAAAAAAAAACGGCCATACTTAAATTTTTTGACAATACAATATAAAAGTGAAAGAAATGTCGAAATGTCAAATTGTTTCTTTTGGTTTTTTTTTTTTTTCAAAATGACATTATTTTGAGAGAGGACATTTTACAACAAAGAAATTACAATAACAATTTATAACAGTAATTTTGCTTTTATGATGTTTTTTTTTTCTATTTTTATTGTTTATCTTTACTTTTAGCCTTCTTCAGTGTTGTTGTCATTTTTTTTCTTGAACCTCAAATGACTTTAAAATAATGTGAAAAATAAAATATTTTTTGTTTTTTTTTTTGCAGAAAAAAAAAAAACAAAATTGAAAAAACTAATGACATAAAATGGAAAATAAAAATAAAAAAGAAAAATAAAAAAAATCAAACAATAAAAACAAAAGCAAATAACAAAAAAATCTATTCACCTTTCTATCATTTGATGAATCATCTTGTTTTTCACCAATAATATCACTTCGCTGTAAATTATGTTGTAGCTGTAATTGTTGTTGTTGCTGTTGTTGTTGTTGATTATAACCTCCACCACCATTTCCTTCAATATTACTGTTATTATTATTATTATTGTTGTTGTTATTAGCACCTAAACTACCTTGTTTTGTTGGTGTATTTGTACCAACAGTTTTAGTTGGCGCTAAACGATTTTGTGATCCTCCTAAATGACGTAATGATGAATGATGATGATAATGATGGCGATGTAAAATTGGTCCAGCGGATAATGGTCGATATGGCAGTGGACATGCAGGTCTATAAAATAATTTTATTTTTTATATGTTTTTTTATGTTTTCTTTTTTTTGGCAATTTTTTTTTTTTTTGTTGCTCATCTCTTGTGCAATGTGAATTAGTTGTTTCTTTTTTGTTGTTAAGGAAAAAATCTTTTCGAAATTGAACTTTCGAAGTGTTTATGAAATGAAAATTTTTTTTTTTTTATTTAGGTGTTGTGAAATTTTAAATGAAGATGAAAATTTAAATTAAGGTTTTCGATTTTAAAATGTAGAATATTTAATTACACAATGATTTGAAATGATCAACACAATTCGAAAATCGAAAATTATAATGGTAATTTATAGAGGAGGAAGAGCAGGGTAATAGGACTACAAGTGAATTAAATTTTAAACGAAAATTTTATTGCAAAAAGTTATTCGGAAAGTACATTTTACTTAATATTTTTTTATGAGTTAGAGAACGAAATTTTTATTTATTCAAATAAGATTCATAATGTGTTAAACCCTAGCGTGTATATTATGGTTAAATTAGAAAAGCGAACGTAAATTGTTTTTATTCAAATTTATTTAAAATAAATAACTTAAAATTACGAAAATGCTATAAAACACATTTAGTCTACATTCAAAAAGCACAAAAAATCAATTATTCTTAGAACTTAACACTTTCCCATGACTTGGAACCATTCAACCTGTAACTTTTTGGCTATTATATTGTAATAGTTCTGCAATTGTGTATAACTATATAACTGCAAGATTGCTCATACAACTATGGTGAAAATAAGGACCTTTTAGAGAAAATGACATCATTATGAAAACAATTCCTTGAAGTTTCATAATTTTTAACAACATTATGTGACATTTGACAATAGCTAAATAACACTTATTTCAATAACATTTAACCATGTTAGTATATACATAACACACGATTTATACATATTTCTTGTATAATTTCAAATTTTTAATTGATACACAAATTTAATACCAAATTATTTTTATGAATACACCGAATCGCAATGAATTCTGTGACAATATTGTCAAATACACTTAAAAATCACTTGTAAATTTCAAAAACAGATAGCACTTTTAAGTTTAATTGTTTGACAGTGAATTAAACATCAAAAATGTTGTTACGTGAACTTGATATTTAAAAATTTATTAACAAAACTCATTATTTAAAATTAAATTTATTGAAATTATTGGAATTTTATATTTATCGTATATTTCCAGATAAAATAAAAATTAATTTGCAATAACATTCATGTCATTTTGTTGTAATATGTTCACACTTGCAAATTGTTTCATACTAAGGGGGCTTAAAGTACTCAAATGAAAATTTTTAAAACATTAACTAGCTATTATCAAGGATTTTAATTTAATTATCAACTGCTGACAGTTTCCCATACATTTGTTTAATGCCAGTTACCCTTATTTGAATAAAAATTTTATTTTAAGGGTTACTAACGAACTACATTACGTTTTTCTTAATAAAAATGAGAAAATACTGTTATAGCCTTTTATTAGAAATTCAATTCTAAGATGATAAGCAGAAATGTTGAGTTTGAAAACTACCTGTAAATAATTACTGTACCTACTACAAAATATTTACAAAATGATTATAAGTATTATGATCATGTTGGAAGCAAACAGAATGTAATATGCAATTTGATATACTAAACCCGAAAATTAAAATTTGACAGTAAGAAATTAAATTAAATTAAAATTTGAACGGTAGCAGTTAGGTAAGTGTTTGAACCCTATTAATAGCATTTTGCATATTTAAGTTCAAATTTCAAATATTTTCTAAATAAAAACAGTCGAGAATAGAAAAATTTCATGTTTGATCACTTTTTCTAAACAATTATTCCAATTAAATTTTTATAAACGATAAAATTAATTAATGTATTGCAAATTTTTGAAATCTTGACATAAAATAGTGTAAACGCCCTTTTTTTTCAACATTTAGTGTTTTTGTTTTTAATTATAAATTAAAAAAATTGTGCGTTTTAATTAATAAAAATCTGTGCTTTAGTATTTTTTGTACCGATTTCTAATATCAGACACTGCTAATCCAACGCCAGAATCAGATGATGGACTTCGTCCAGTTGCTGCCATTATTTCCAAATCAACATCAGTTACCTAAACAAGAGAAACGAAACCAAAAAAAAAACAAAAGAGAGAAAATAAGAGTAGAAAAGATTTCCAGAAAAATATTCTCGACAAAAGGTACAAAATAATTTTTGTGTTATTTTTTTTGGTATTTTAAATACAAATTTCGAAAATTCGAAAATCGCAGTGTTTTCGTTTATTTTGTGTATTTTTTTACATTTTTTGCAATACATATACAATAAGAAAATATACATCAACAAAATATTATGTTTTTTATTGTTTTGTCAAATTTCAAAAAGTTGAAAAATTCATTTAGCTTTTGTTTTTATGCTGAAAGAGAGTGAAGAGTAAAAAGAATTGTTTTTTCTTTTGTAATTTTTTCTAATACTACAAAATCTACAAATGTGATTAATATTTTTGAAGAGAAAAAAGGGAAATTTCTATGCAGGGCTGTATCGTGCAATTTCAAAGCGAATTAGTGTAAAAACAAAGTAGGATCAAATTGTAAAATATGCAATTTAGCGTAGATATGAAGTTGGAAATGAAATTTTATTTTAAATGCGTAAAATTTTTGTAAAAAAAATTTTAAAATTAATTAAGGTAGGGTTATGTTTCATATTCTACATGATATGTACATTTTAAATATAGGTAAAATAATTATTTTAGGGAAATTATACAGGACTAAAAGTTATTTTAATAAAAATGTCATTAGATATTCAAAGTATGGAAAATGCGTGCAATAAGGATAGCATATTATGAAAATTAAAATTTATGTTTCTGAAAATGACTAAAAATGCTATTTTTACTTAAAAAATGTACGAGTATGTGTGCAACAAAATAATATTTTTGGATTTTGATTATTTTTGTCACTATTTTGCATTTGCATTAATTTTTCTTTTTATTTTTGACAAATAATTTTTTGTGCAAATACAATATTGTTGCTTTACTGCATGTATATGGGTATATTGTTTGGAAAAAACCGCCATCAAAATTTGTAATGAAAATGCGCGGATTATGAATAAAAAAAGCAATTCGAAATGTCAAATGTATGCAAAATGATCAAAATATATAAAAAATATGCAAAGATTTAAAAAAAAATTCTAATGTATACGAGAGTTATGCAATGATTGAAAAAAAAACTAAGCGTAATTGAAATTTTTTTTCAATGACTAATAATAAGTTAATTTTAATTAAAAATAATTAAAATCTTAAAACAAAAAATAAATAAATTTTACAATGAAATGTCTGAATTTTTAATGAATTTCTATATGAAAATACTTACATGTAAATTTGCTATTTTAAAATTTTTGTACATATTTGCTTTTTGCTGCATTGTAATTTTTGCTTGTATTTATTTTCTTGATAATTTTTTTATTTTTCTTGTTTCTTCATTATGTGCTCTTTTGAGGTTAATTGTTAAATATTTAAATTTTCTTAATAATTTAAAAATAAAAATTTACACAATATTAAATGAAAATAAATTTCATAAACTTAAAATTTCCAAAAATCAAAAGAAAATGAATCAAAAATAAATATGTATGTAATAAAAACAAAAAATGACAACTTAAAAAAAAAGTTTTAACCTACTAGTTCCAAAATATGTTAACAAAATTATGTAATTTTTGTATAAGTTTTACATTATTAAAATTCACGTTTCTTACATGTACTCTTATTGTACCCTTTGTAAACAATATGCAGATAATTTCGTTGATTAATTATTTTAAATCATTGTCAGTTTGACAAGAGCTTTTTGACAAGAACTATTGTTATATTAAGGTTCTGTTATTTTATCCAAATGATGTTTATTAAATCTAATAATTTCATTTAATTTCTGTAATAACCAAATTTCCCACAATGATCTTAAAATAAAAGTTCTCAGTTTCTGACAATTAAAAGTGATTAAAACTATTGTTATGTTTCAATCATTTTGATATTATTGTTAACGTTTCTCTCTTAATTTCCTTTAGTAATGTCAAACATTTTTTTATTTAGGATCATGAAATATTTTAATATTGACAATTGCAATAACAATAGTTTTCGGCAAATGTTGTTAAATATAAAAGAAATTTTAAGCTTTAAAAACAAAAGTTGTTGAAATATTTTTTAGTCTCACGTTACTCTTATTAATTAAACATGTGGAATTTTATTGTATTTGAGCGTTATTATAACAAGTTGTTCTAAATCGTACAATTATACAAATTTAAAACTATTAAAAAGGCTGTTTTTTCAAAAGAAAATCGCGACACAACCATCATTCACCAGTGACATTAAAAAAAAATTTATTCTTCAATAGTACGGAAATATTTTTTCTCACCCATCATACAACGTTTACGCAAACCACAACGTTTAAAGAACACTTATATTTTTAGATTTCACCTGTCAATTTTTTTTCTTCATTTCTTATAAGATTAATTTAGAATTAAAATTTGAAAAAATACTCACCATTTTGTTTTATTCTTTTTTTTTTCATTTATTTTAAGTTTACAACTTCCTAGAAACTTTAAAAACTATTCTCTTCAAATAAAAATTTTTAAATAAAAAAAAAAGATTTTGAAAGTATAACATTTAGAAAAATCTTAGAAGCATTTTTGTTAGTGTTGCCGTTGCATTATATTATAGTAAATATAATAATATAATATATAAAAAGTAAAAGGACATAGGAAGTGTGTATAAGTATATGTTTTTAAATGTAAAAGTGTATTAAAGCTGAAAATTTTGTCTCGATAAAAATTTAAAAATAAATTTTAAGATTTCTTGTTTAATGCCTTATATTGTATAGAATATAGATAAATAATTGTTATCTTTAAGCGACATCTATGAAATTATATGACTACTATCATATAATTTTAATGACAAAATATATTATTTACTATAGACGTTTTATTAATATAAACTCTGACTAAGAATTGTTCTCAAGTAACAATTAAGTCGTCACACCATAAATAAATTAATTATGATATATTATGTAATAAGATAATTTAATCCCATATTTGAAATATATATAGTTAATGTAAATATAAGATGAATTTTTTTTGTTGAAATTTATAAAAAATGGATAATTGTTGTTGGAATATCTTTATATATTATATATTAAATTGAAATTCAAATTATATCAAAAATATATAACATCACAACAACAAAATTCAAAAAATAAAAAACAAAAATTATATATATATTTCTTTCGAATTCTTCAAAATCTGTTTAGTAGCTTTAATCAAATAAAATTTTCGTCATAATAACATAAAAATATATGTAAAACTAAATTTTATATTAAACACTAACACTATTATTAACGTGTTTCAGGCATAAACAAATAATATGTATTTAAAAGAAAAGAAAGAAAAGAAAACAAATTCGAAAATATAATAGAAGACTATTATATAAGAAAAACATCAAAAATTATTTAAGTTCTAAGCATATCATAAAGTATATTTTTTTTCAATAAAACATTAAAAATTTGAAATTAAATCTACAGAAAAATTATTTTAAAAAAAAAATTGTTTACAATCTTTTTTTTTCGCTCCCCTTAAATTATCTCTTTTTTAACAATTATATAGATACTTATAGGAACAATTTTAATGTATATATATAAATATGTATGTATATGTGTATATTTAATATAATTATTAATAAATATTTTAGTTAAAAACTAAAAAACAAAAAAATTAAAACTTTTTTTTTTATAATAATGTGCAAAATTTTAGCATTATTTTATCGTATACATTTATATCGTATTGTAATATTAAACTTTAATTAAATTTTTTATATTTATTTTAATTTTATTTATAATTTATAAAAAAATTTTTAATAACTTTTAGCAAAAGTAGAAATTTAAACAATTAATTATTTTATTTATTTTTCTGAATTAATTATCAATGTAGTAAATTTTCAACAAGAATACTGCTTGTTATTTTAATTCCCACGGCAACACAATTTTTTTTTTGTTTTGATTTTGTTTATTAATATATTTGTCAAAAATTAATTTGTCAAAAAGCTAATTAATATTTGTGTCAAAAATTTTATTATTTATTAGTTTTCATAATATTGCGTTTTATTTTATTTTATGTTTTAATAAAAAAAGTTGAGATAAAATGCATCAAAGATGCAATATATTATTTATGAATAATGTTATAACTATATGTATATATGTAAATATATACTATATATTTTAAATTACGTTTTCATTAATTATATTTTATAAATTTGAAAAATTATAATACTAAAGCTTAATGGAAAATTATGAAATGCTCTTAAAACTGTAATTAATAAATATTATATTAGAATTGTTAAGATCATATTAGAGTATTTGTATGTATAAAAACTGTTATAACATAAATTTTGAGATTATATTTATAATGCACGTCATCATAAGAAAAGCGTTATTCTAAATTACATGTCCTAACTCGTATGTATACATAATATATAAGTAAATATTAATTTATTTATTTTGAAGAGAAAATCAATTTTATAGCGAAGAGAGAATTGACAATTATTAGATTTGGTATAAATACGAGTACAGTTGTATTGTTTATTGTATTATACAGTGTATTAGGAAGTTGAAACGCAGTTCGGTTTGAGTTTGATTAACTATATGTACTATACTATAATTATTTTAAGTATTAACCATTAATATCTCGGATATTATTTGATAACAACGTATATGTACGCAATATGTAATATATTATTTAAGAAATTTTTTTTATTTTATTGGAGAATAATAATAATTTTTTGCCTAAGTATTTCTAACAATATTTGCACAATTTATGCTTATAATTATTATATGTATATTAATATATACATATTTTTATACATATATGTAAATTAATTAATTACATATACATATATATATATATGTATATACAGTGAATAAATTACAAAATTCAAAAAAGAAAAAATAATTAAAAAAAAAATAAAGTGTAAATTATAACAAAATAAAACAAGTTAACAAGTTAAATCTATGTATATATATATATATATATATATTATATAATATTAAAAAACAAGTGACATTTATTTAATTAAACAATTGAATAAGAAAAGGAAGAATATATTTTAAAAAAAAAAAAAAGTGACATATAAAATATCTTTTGTTCCATTTATAAATAACAACACATACATATTCAATGTACATACATATGAATATATACATTATTTATATATACATATATAATTATAATATAAAAACTAAATACACAGAGGCATAAATTTTTTTAATATTATTAATTAATATCAAAAAAAAAAAAAAAAAAATTTAATTCTAATAGTAATCATAATCATAATCATAACCAAAAATGTGTTCATCATTGTAACTACTACTATTGTTATTATTATTAATATTGTAATAATTATTGGAACCATCGTTATAATAATCAAAATCATCAAAAAAACTTACCGGTATCTCCTGTGTATGAATTGGATCTCCTTTCCGCTATCATTTTTAAAACAAAAAAATAAAATATTTGTTTTGTTTGTGTTCGAAAACGAGCAAATTTTTTTTTTATACATAAAGAGTGTTGCCAAGTTTACGAAATTTTTGATTTTTTTTTTCGAATTTTCAATTGAAATTTATTTTAGTTTGTTTTTATTGATTTTCATCGAATAAATTTATTTCGATTTTGTTGTAAAAGCATTATAATATTGTAGTAAAGATGTTTAAGTAGTAAATAGTAATAATAGTAGCAGTAGTAGTATATTAGTAGAAGGGTGGTGAAATAATATAGTAGTAGAAGTAGTAGTAGTAGTAGTATTTACGTTAATATGAAAAGAGAAAAGGAAAAATGCAAGAAAAATATTGCATGTACATATTTTTCAAATATATCAAAAACAAACAAAGTTAGATATTGAAAAAACATAAATTTTAAGTGTTTTAAAAAGAATTTATTTAAAAATAAAAGAAAAAAAAATAATTGCGAAAATTTAAATGGAAATGTGTGTAAATTCAAAACTTAAAAAAAATATTTTGGTTTTTTAATTTTTAATATTTTAAATACTAATTTCATAATTTTTATATGCAAAATATGATTTGAATGAAACTTTTTTTAAAGTATTTTTATACTAAAATTTGATCGATCAAAATTAGAACAAATTGAATTTTCAGTGTGGTTCTTAGATCGTATATATATATCGTAAAATATATCAGAGTATAACAGAATAATAACATTGATAGTAGTATAGGCGGGCAAATTTTTTTATTAAAATATTTTCATCATATTGACAGTCGGAATATCGTACTTCAACTATTGTGAATTATTAGATTATAATAGATGAAAGTGTCAAAAACAATTATTATTCGCATACAATAAAGAGAAGTCAAAAAATTATTAAACTGACAGATAGATGAAAAGTTTTTTATGTTCCAGTGGCACCGCTTTTGTATATATTGACATAAGACTATGTCAATATTTATTCGAAACGATAGAAATTTTTTTAAATAAACTTCTTTTCAAATAGTTACAATAACCTTCACATTTTTCTATTAAATTATTTTATATAACAATTTTTAATACATAGACATTTAGCTTATTGTATTTACAAAAGTTTTAGAACAACATAATTATTATATGTACAATATATTTATATAAAAATAATTCAATAAAATTCTTTAGCACAAAATTATCTTTGGATAAAGAAACTTTTTTAAAAACTTAATTTACATATAAATTGAAACCACACTGAATTAGAAATTTACTTCTAAAAATAATAAAATATATAAAATGCATGCATAAAATTTGAACAAATCAAAAAACAAAACCAATTTGAAATACAAAAACCAATTATCGAAAAAGCCAATTCGTATAACATTAAGCAAGCAAATTCTAAAATCAAATTTTCATAAGCAAACATTATTACTTTGTTAACAGAAAATGACAAAAAAAAAATATTCAAGAATTTGGATCATTTATTATAATTATCGTGTTATTTTTTCTTTTGAATATTAAAATGTTAAACTTACCCTATGTCTATCATATATAAGGGCATCCCGATCTCTTCTATACACTAATTCGTCGTATCTAGTTCGATCTTCGGGAAAAACCAATTCACGAATTTCAGTAACTAAAGTATGCTATAAAAATTTTGAAAATTGTCAAAATTATTGTTTTATTTATTTAATAATTAAAATTATTATAAAAAATGTCAAAAATAAATACATAAGAAAAAAATATCAACTTACTTTTTCAGGTGTATCTAACATTTCTAATAAGACGGCAACAAAGGCATCTATGGTCATTGCTCTCGCACCATATTCTCCAATATAATACGAAAGACTTGCAAATTGATGTCTAGGCAGTAAGGAACGTGCTTTCTCCTCAACCATACCCGATATTTGACATTTTCTTCTCGCTCTAAATTGATTTTGAAAAGAGAAAAACAATAAGAAACAAAAATTTATACAAAATATTATGAGAAATAAATTTTTAAATATTATACCGGGTTCCTGTTGGACTATACGCATCCCATGGTTCTAATTCAATTGAGGTACAAGAATGTGGTACTTTACCAACATCACGTACAACTAATGACATACGTTTATGATATTTAAGTTGACTAACAGCTTCATCATGTGTTACATCTAAAAATGATTGACCATTCACTTCTAATATTTCATCACCAACCATTAAACCAGCACGATCTGCAACACTATCTTTATCTACACCAGTTATAAATATACCAAGGCCATATTCAACACCACCACGTATCATAAGACCAAGTGATTGACCTGGTTCAATTAATAATTCTACACGTCTAATTCTGTAATTTTATTAAAATATTGTTATTTAAAAATGTTAAAATTATAAAATTATATTAATATTAAATTAAATTTAATATAGCAAGCAGTACCTATCTCTTCTATCACTCCTTCTTCCACCATATTCCATTGGAGGTGATGCAGGTCTACCTTGTCTATCCATCCAGGAACATGTTTGTCGAAATGGCGGTGAATTCGGTCCTAATGCAGTCGCTGATGGATGATGTACTATTGATGATGTTGTTCCAGCCCCATGGTGTAATACATGACCTCCTTGGGAACCAGATGGTGGTATTGGTATACCGGTTGTTGATGCATATGTTGGATCTCTTGAGGGCGGTCCAAAACCATGTAATGGGGCAGTCGAATTCAATGTTGGTGGAGCTCTAACCGTCATACTGATTTCACGTGATGATTTCAATATCTGCACACATCTCTGCGTTAAGAAAAAAATATGGCAATAGAAGAAAAAAAATGGAGAAAGAAGAGGAAATAAAATAAAAATAAAAAAATAATAAGAACGAAATAAAAAAAATAATAGAAAAAAAAATTAAATAAATTATTTGGAGAACTGAACAAAAACAATACAAAAACAAAAAGGAAACTGTTATCATAATAATTAGTAGTTTAACGGTAACTGACTTTGATTTTTCTGCTTGTGTAGTTTTAATATAGACAGTGTAGAAGTTTAATTAAATTTTTTTTTACTGTTTTGTATTTGAAATCGTCATTTTTTTTTTGTTTTTAAAAATGTTTAATAAAAACGTAACAAAAAGTTCATTTCTCATAAGGTGCAAATAAACATCGAAAAGCTTTAATAAAACAAATTTAATTTTTTTTTACTTGTTTGTGATTTTAATTCAAAAAATTACTGTTAAGAAAAGAAAACAATATAGTATAATTCATAAACGGTTGCCGAATCCGAAACACTTAAACAAACGCAACAAGTGCAGTGCAAAAATAAAGTTTCTGTTACAAAACCAATTTACAATGAATTTTGAGTTTTCCCTTTAAATACAAGAAAATCACTTCGAGTTTCTTAATTCAAATTGTTAGGTAAGTATTCGTACAAAAAAATATTTTGTTTGGTTTCAAAATTAAAAAACAAAAATAAAAATTAAAAAAAATTTCAAATAGTGTAGAAGAAGTTTAAAGTTGGCCTAAAGGTATAGTTCGTTTTTGATAATTTGTTCTCACAATTAACGGGCTGTGAAACCGATACACTTCATAACGCCAGTTGGCTACCAAGCGCCGAATAAACTATTGAATGGAATAGAAAACCACATGACATTTCAGATTACATTAAAAAGAGAAAAAATAAGATGGCAGCCAAGGCAAATTCAAGAAATTCTATATAATTCTCCATTATGTTCAGAGTAAACAATTCATACATCAGCACTTCTGAACAGTAAATATAATTTTCGAAAATTGCAAAATATTTTACATTTCCTTGTAGACCGTCTGTGGATATAATAATTTCCAAAAATATTTTTATTTTGTATAAATGAAATACAAACTGGTGCACATATAATATCCAAGTATTTAAAAAATATTTAAAATTTTTTTGGAGGAAAGTGGCGTTTGTAAATAATCACAATTTACTCCACCCTTTATCAACATACTTAAAGGAAATAAATATTTCTTATTTTGTTTTTGTATAGAAACAAATTGTAATTTACAAGAGATTAGCAGATGTTCAAATAATTTTCGCATTAAGGTCGACAAGGAAAGAAAAAGAATTTAAAGTTTCAGTTATGCTTAATAACCGAACGAATCGAATAAAAAAAGGAAGGTATGGTGATCGTACCAAAGTTTCAGTAAAAATACACTTCTCTTGCTTCTGCAGTCCATGCATCTCTATGAAAAAATTTAATATACTCTTCAAGAGAGTAGAATTCAAGAAAATGAGTCCCTGTCGCAAAATTTAACAAGGATGTGCCCATCAGGACTTTGGAATAATATTTAGAAAATACATAATGCAACCAATTAACGTGCTTACCACATCACATTCTAGGAAAAAATATTAAAATATTTACAAATAATTTTTTCAGTGCACAAATTTTCTATTATAAATTAAATTTAATCTAACATAGCTGGCTAAAAATAAACATAAATTTTAATTTTTCAAATTTATTCGATTGAACAGAGGACAACCCATTCGATTATGCTATGCAGTGTAATGGAAAAAAAGTTAATTTTTTTAAGGAGATAATTAGTGCAAATAATTAATTTAAGAGAAATTTTAAGTTTTGTTTTTTATAGTCAAATTTCGGGTTAACTACTTTTATAACAAAGTACATAATTCAATTAAAACCAAACCTTTTAAAATGACAAACCAATGAACTTGAAACTCTTTTGTTTTCTTAAAAAACCCATTTATTTTTTGAAAAAGAAATTTCAAAATAAAAATAACAAAAAGTCAAGAAAAAATTATAAACTGACTTTTAGCTGACTTTGATTAAATTTAGTTTCATTTAAGGTTTACTATAAATATATAAAGAGTTTTAAATTGAAAACTTCAAAATACAATATAGTAAGACAAAAGTTTGAAATATTAGTAGAGATATATTAGCATCATTCAAATATGCAAGTAACATTGATGCAATAGTGGCAGAGGCAGAAGGACGACAAGATTGATACCGGAATTCAACATTTCGCACGAGAACCTGACATAAAGTAGAACACACTGTTTTTCTCCAATTTTTTCCAGCGAAACGCGGAAAAATCGAACCAGAAGGATTCGGAGATAGTAGTAGATAGCAAAGCAAAAGACAACAATGCCTGGGAATAATGTTAGAGAACGATGAGTGTAAAATAGATTGAAGCAATGTCATATGCAGCGCCACACCACTGGAAAGACTAAAATTTTTAAACGATCCATATAAGAGGCATGAAAAGTATGGGCGAAAAAAATACAAAGTGAATTGGAAGAGAAGAGAAAATGCGATAATGAAATAAAGGTGAACTGAATTTAAATAACGTGTTGAGATAACCGCTCAGAATGGTGCAAAATATTAAAAACAATGCACCGCACCATTAATATTTCTACTCTCGTAGTTCTCTTAAAAAACTGTATTATTATTTTAAATACAAAATGTCATTTTTATGTGAGCAAAATGTTAAACCATAACTTTTCCCGAAATTAATTCGTAAAATTTCTGTTTAGTTTCTGGAGTCTAGTGTAAATTCTGTGAATTTTGACGAAAAAAAATTGTTTTTTTGCATATTAATGCAACAGGATGTGAACATTCCTTAGATTCTAAGTTAATATTTATTTTATTTATTTTGACATCACGTTGTTTCTAAGAAAACCAAGATGTTTCATATTTCATTTCTTAAAATGAATGCAACATGTGCTATGTAAACATCTCAAACTTTTTGACTAAGTTGAATTCATCCCATTGTCAACACATTTTATATAATATGTAAATAATTTTTTAATAATCACGTTTATTCCAAGAAATCTTTTTTTTAAGAATCATAAATCATTCCAGCTAAAAACACTAATGTATTAGAGAATTTAAAAAAAAATTTATGGCATGTATTGACCCTTATTGGACCTTCAAAATTTTACAATTTAAGACATAAAGGGTTTGAAAAATATAAGCAAAGTGGTTACTGCCAAAAATTACGGTTGTTATTGCTAAAAAAGCTATTCTAAAAATCTAAAGTTTGGTGCAGCGTCATAGATTATTCCATCGACACGAAGTATATAAAAATCAATTTTACTCGACGGACAAGCTTTTATAAACGAAAGCCGACCCATATATTGACTATGTCGGCATTACGTAATTTAACTTAAGTACTCCTTAACTAAAAGCTTCTTTTATAGATTTTCACTATAAAAATAAATTACATTAATTATCGAGAATTTTATGTCACTTTGCCAATTAATATTTTCTTTATGTAATAGATGCGCTTCTTTTCATCTCAAAATTCTTTAATTTGATTTTTGAAACTTCCGTTTATAAGAAGAGAAAATTCTATTCTTTTATCTCTTTGATTTGTGCCTTTTAACAAACTATTATATTTGCATTATAAATTTCGCTTATAAAGTACACACGAACCTACATGAATTTAAAATGGGCTACAACTAATTTTTAAAAGAAAATTATTTTAATTTGAAAAGCAAGTCAAACCCTTTCATTTTTTTTTTTTTTTTGATATTTTCTTTTAAGGGTTTTTTTGTTTTTTAAATGAGGATATTTATTAGCTATATAATTAGTATTATAATAAGCTTAATTGTTTTATTGAAAATGAATTCGAAATTAATTATAAGGCTATTTATAGATGGAGGAGGGGGTTGGAAGGAGTTTGGAAGGAAAACACTTCTTTTGTTATTTTTTTTTTATATTTAAATTATTTTATAAAATAAAGTGTTTCTTCTTAAAATTATTCTTGAAATAAATCAAAGGCGCTTATCCGGTTTAATATTTTATGTGATTATTTATATATACATATATGTATGTATTTTGTGGTTTGTTGTGTAGTTGTTTATATGCACAAAATTAAAACCTATATATTGTATTGCGTAAAGGAAAGTGGATCGAACTGATAAGAAAAATATTGATTTCAAGCAAAGACTCTTGAAAAGTGTGTTAGAAACTATTATAAAAATGAAACTTATTCACATGAATAAGTTTAATTTTCTAACAGTTACCGGATAAAATATAGTTACCGAAAGGAGGTGAAATTGCAAAATTGCAAACATTTCGTACACCAAATAGAAACTAAGAACTAGGGGACAAAATCAATATGCCTAAGCAAAATCATTTCATTTCTTTTTCAATTCTTTATTATTTTGTAAAAATAAAACAAAATGGCAAATTATAGATTTATAAGAGTCAAATAGTTCACAGCTGCAAAATAAAATTACAGTTAATAAATTATATTATACCAAAAGTTCATAATAATTTTCAAGGTCAATATCCTAATACAAAAATTCATAATGATATTTACAACGATTTAAAATAAAGAAGGCAAAAAGAAGAGAAAATCAAAAATTCGAGAAAAAAAAATTTACAAGATTGTTTTTTACGATGTCATTATACTTTGTATTTATAATTATTGCCGTTATTTGTACTCAAATAATGTGTGTAATATAATATAAAGTAAGTACACTTATGTATATAAAATTGTTTATGTGTTGTTATTGTATTTATTAAAGTAATTTCTTCTCTTCTCAATATTCTTATAATCCAATCAAAAATATTATAATTTTGAGAACAGATGATGTTATCATTTTAGATTGACAAAAAAATAAAAAAAAAAAATTTTGTTACTTTTCTTTTGTCTTCAAGGTTCTTCTTTTATAAAATGTCATGCAATTCGATACAACATTTTGATATACCGAAAATTTGTATTAAATAAGAGTATAACCAGACAAAAATATTAATTTTTCTTAAAAAAAATCGAAAAAGTTAGCACATTTCCCAC